ACCCCTTAGAGCAGGGCCTCCTCACCATGACTGAGCAAACCTGTGTAAGTGGCAGTGAACAAAACTCACACCTGAAATCATGCACCTCAACTACAACACCCACATTTGAAAGGAAACCTTCCTTGCCCCGCTTGGAGGAAGTGAGCTCAGTTTTGGGAGAGGCTGGGGTGTGTTTTAAGCCCCACTCTCAGTAAAGCTACAGTGGTAGCCATGTAGGAGTGCTTTTTAATATTTCATATACCAAAAAAAAAACCTGCTTTAAGAATTGAGAATCTGGCCGGGCGCGGTGGCTCAAGCCTGTAATCCCAGCACTTTGGGAGGCCGAGACGGGTGGATCACAAGGTCAGGAGATCGAGACCATCCTGGCTAACCCGGTGAAACCCCGTCTCTACTAAAAAATACAAAAAACTAGCCGGGCGCGGTGGCGAGTGCCTGTAGTCCCAGCTACTCGGGAGGCTGAGACAGGAGAATGGCGTGAACCCAGGAGGCGGAGCTTGCAGTGAGCTGAGATCCGGCCACTGCACTCCAGCCTGGGCGACAGAGCGAGACTCCGCCTCAAAAAAAAAAAAAAAGAATTGAGAATCGGGAAAAATTGTTCTTTCACATGAATGGCTGTGCTTCCTTCTCTTGGGGACCGTGGGTGGCTTACCCATGGACTCCCTTGAACTGGAAGCCAGTGTCATCCCTGTAAACATGTTAGTCTCCTATGAGACCATTTGCACAACCTTATAAAATTATGATTTTTATTTCCATTATAACAAGTTATCAGTTGCATGAATCTTAATCAAAGTTGCCTCTATTTCTTTACATTAGGCCCAGCAACCACAGAAGGAAAGAAAAAATCCTCTTAGCCTAGCATTCTGGAGACAGAATTATATATGTTTATTTGTATCAAGATTTGTCTGTTATCCTTTCCAGTTCAAAAATAAAATATTAAAAGGAAGTTTTAGATAAACAGAATCATGAACCGATAGCAGGAATATATTCATTTGAATATATTCTCCTCCATCATTATCCATGTGCATGAATATTTACTTAAATAATTGTGAGCAAATTTAAAATACCAATTTAGGATCTACTTGATAGCATTTAACTGTAAATTTTACATTTTAAATTTCACATGGGTTCCCAATCATGATTTTTAAAAGTTTCCTCATATTTCACAAAGTCTGATGTCTCACATTTACAAATTAACTGATAGGCTCTGCAGAGTCACTATACAGCTTACAGCGCTCAGTCCCCGTCCCTGGCTTCTTACATCCTTGAGGTTCCCATGAACACAAAACGTGCCTCTGGAAGAGTCAGGGTACCAAGTCTATCATTTTACTTCTCTGTATAAATGGAACTATAAATTTGTCCCAAAGCTACTTTGTAGTGGAAGCATAATTTGTTACCCTTTTGCACTCTCTCCAGTGACTCCCATCAGGGAATGTATCAGGGCCAGTGGATGTGACACAATAATTGTACCCCAATGTGGGTTGAGATTGCCCACCTGAGCCCCATACCTCTGGAGCCAGACAGCAGTCAGTCACGCCCTGCTTGCACTGGGGACAGTTGAGTCCCCCAGGCTGAGCCAGGGACAACAGGCTGACTTCTGTGGTCCATCCTTATTTCTCTTAAAAATCTCTTTCATGTTTCCTCTCTTTGGTGTTTCCTTTTGTCACCATTTTTAAAAAATGTATCTTCTGTGTTCTTTCCTGTTTAGTCAGCATTCTCTTTACTTCATTTCTTTGAACACATTTTGTATCTTTTTTTTTTTCTTTTTTTTTTTTTTTTTTTTGAGACAGGGTCTAATTCTGTTGCCAGGCTGGAGTGCAGTGGCGTGATCATGGCTCACAGCAGCCTCCACCTCCTGGGCTCAAGCAGTTCTCATGCTTCAGCCTCCTGAGTGGCTAGGACTACCGGACCATGTTTTGTTCAGTTGTTTAGCATTTTAAACTCAAGGCTAAAAATATATCCACTTTCATTCTTCTAATCATTCCAAGTTTTCCCAATTCCCTTTTCTCTTTGAGCCATTAGAGCATAACAGCTAAGAGCACTGGCTCTGGGGCTGACTGCTGAGGTTCAAACCCGGTGCCACTTCCCAGGGGTGTCACTGTGGGCAAGTCACCTAACTTCTGTATGTGTTGGCCCCCACCTATGTGTTCTAAAACTGGTGCCTGATATTGGTTTTAATCAGGTGTGGCGAAGCGTGCAGACACAGCAATGATTGTCACGAAGGAAGAAGTTTATACTAATGGATCCCTATAAACAAGAGGCCTGGTTCCCCATGCAGGGCCACATGGAGAGCACCAAGGGCAATCAGGAGGCAGAAGGGCGGGGCAGCATAGGCCTGATCCTTTTTTGTGTTTTCTGTAAGAAAGGCAGAGGGCAGAATAGGGTAAGCCTTTTAGAATGGGCTAGTTTAAATGGTTCTGGCTGGCTTTGAGGCATAGGGGCTGTCCCTAGTTGTCTGGTACCTGGCCCTGGGTTGATTTAGGGCAGGAGGAATATTAACTTGCTGTGTGAGAGTTTGGTAAAGGAGATGATTGGGGGTGTGGGCTCTAGCTTGGTTCATTTGCTTAAAAGGCACTCCCCTTTGCTATCTGGCTAGGCCTGGGAGGGGGAGTCTCTCCCCAGTTAGCAAGATCACAAATGCCAGAGCATCAAGAATACAGAAAATTAAAAATATAGAGAGAATACAACTGGCCCTGTGACGAATGGATGCTAGACAAATTCAGAATCTAAGAGAACACGGAGCACCCTGCAAGGTGGCCAGTAATAGGACTTACCTCGTCTAGTCGTTGTGAGGATTAAATAGACGGCCCACGTAAATTGTTTAGACAGGTGCCTCGCCTGCAGAAGGCACCATGAAAGGTTTGCTGTTACTTCTCCCCTTGCTATGCCCCCTTTACTTCCCGTGCTGTGCCGTCCCTCCCTCTCTGTCCTACTCTCAGGCTGCCCGACTCCTTATCGATCCCTCTTCTCAGGTTTCCCCAGCTGCCTGCTTTAATCTACATTCTCCTAGACAATGTCCGGGCCATTCTCTCACCTACATCTTATCTTGTGCTTAGACTATTACGGAGTTACCATTTCACTTCTCTCAAATTTTACATCTCTTAACTCCTGTGACATTTAGATTTGTCTTTATTGTTGCAATGTGTCTTTCTCTGCCCTTTTCTGGTAGCACCCCACCCCACCACCCCCCAACACACCTTCCCGTTTCTCCATTTTTTTTTTTTTTTTTTTTTTGAGATGGAGTCTCGCACTGTTGCCTAGGCTGGAGTGCAGTGGCACGATCTCAGCTCACTGCAACCTCCACCTCCCAGCTTCAAGCAATTCTCCTGCCTCAGCCTCCCAAGTAGCTGGGATTACAGGCGCCCGCCACCATGCTCAGCTAATTTTTTGTATTTTTAGTAGAGACAGGGTTTCACTATGTTGGCCAAGCTCCTGACCTGGTGATCCACCCGCCTCGGCCTCCCAAAGTGCTAGGATTACAGGCGTGAGCCACCACACCTGGCCCCCGTTCCTCTATTTCAAATTCATTCATTCACCATTCGGCAATTTGCTTCAGTTTCCTTACGTTTGCCTTCTTTCTCATCAGTCTTCTTTTCCATTTTATTCCTCCTCTGTCTTGTCTCACAGTTCACTTACACTTATATTTCCTATCTGCATGTTTTATAATATTTGTGTTTTAATACTTTTAAAATATCCTTTATTTTACTGTTTCTTCTCTTCCCTTGTCATATTTTAAAGTGTTTTATTTCTCAGACCTCTATATCTTTGCATTAATTCTGTTCCTCTACAGTAGAGTCTGTTCTAAGCTTTCTCTCTTTCTGTGTCCTTCCACGGCCCTGGCTCTCTGCATTATTTCCTTTTAATGAAATACAAATCTTTTCCCCTTGTATTTCTCTCACTTCACTCCATACACCCCTTGTCTCGCCTTTCTCCATGCCCCTTTAGGTGCTTCTTGATCTTTGCTTTTCCTTTTTAATTCCTCACCATATCAATTTGTAATTTTCCTCTCTTTTACTACTGTGTCATAAATGGGACTCCCGACAACCACTCCCGTGTGTCTGCCTGGAGGCAGCAGTTTTAAGAAGGATTGGCCGCTGAGCCTCACAGAGGGACCCCTGTCTTATCCTGCAGTGAAGTACCATAGACTGGGTGGCTTACAAACAACAAATTTATTTCTCAAAATTTTGGAGGTGAGAAGTCCAAGATTCACCTGTTGGCATAGTCAGGTTCTGGTGTGGGCCTTCTTCCAGGTTGCAGCTGACACCTTCTCGTGTCCTCATATGACATAAACAGGGCTAGAGAGTATTCTGGGGTCCCTTTTATTAGGGCACTGGTCCCATCATAAGGACTCACTGCCTGTGACCCACTTACCTCCCAAAGGCCCCCCACCTCCAATCACACTGAGGGTTAGAATTTCAACATAGGAATTTTGAGAGGACACACTCAGGCTATGACACGGTCTTTAGACAATCCCAGAATGAGTTGTCAGGTTCTTGGGAGATCTGTAACTGTGGGAAAGCGTCACATCCCAGGGAAAGCCACCGGCTGGGAGAGCCATCCCCGGCAAGGCCTGCTCCCTTTGCGCGGACCTCTGTGGAGAAGCCGGCTTGGCACGTTCTTTCTCCTCCACTGCAAATTTAAATGTGAGAAGGTAGAAACCCAGAGGCCATGCTGGCGCTGAGATGAGCCCCACTCACCAGATTCAAGATCTCATGATAGGCACAGACACGGGGCAAGCTGACTCCAATTCCAGGAGTTTGGAACTTTAAAATAGAGTCATAGAGACACTGGGATCTGATCAAAGTGAGTGCATTCGATGACATTTCCTAGAGGGTCCTGACAACTTCATCTGCAGCTGGGGCTGCCCCAGGTTCTGCACCTCCAGCTCACAGTGCACAGGTGTTGCTGAGCTCCTGTAAACAATGAACAGCAGTAACACGTGGGTTTAGGTAGGGATGCCGCCAGCTGTGTGGATGAGGCCCCAGGGGAGAGGCCGGGGTGGAGGTCAGCCCAGGAGTCTGCACACCTGCAGCTTGTTTCTACCGCACACAGATGGGCACGGGTGAAAATCTTTACAAGTGCTGCAGACTTTGGCAAAGCCTTTAAATTCAGAGCAGCCCAGAGAGGAGAAAGGAAAGTGGATGTGGGTTCAGGCTGTGTGAAATGGAGTTCCAATTGCCTGACTTAGCTTTGAAGCAAATCTTCTCTTTCCTGGACCTGTTCGGCTTGCTGCAGGCTTCCCAGGTGAACAAGGTAAAGGCCTTCCACCTCCCACTGCCCCCATGCCAGCTGCTTCTCTTGACCAGTTTGAGCACCACTTTGCAGAATAGCAGAGGGCTACATTGAGGCTTTGGGGGTTAGCATCCTTCACTCTAAAGGCCTCATATTCTGTTAAACGGAAAGGACAAGCTGACATCCAGAAGTTGTGCTGACTAAACAGTCCTTGAGGCTCCCATTTCAAGCCCTAGGAAATCAGAACGTCTTCCTGTGAACTCATGGGAATACCCAGTGCTTGTATGAGCAGTGGCAGGTCTCTGTTGTTACCATTTCCTTATCTCCCTGCATTGAGGAGTGCTTTGAGAGCTGGAATCCCAGCTGATTAACCTGTGCCGGCCCAGCTCCCAGAACAAATAATAGCAGAGGATTGCCCCTGCTCTCTGATGTAACTGATTGCCTGCTTGTCTCTTCCTTTCTCTCCCATAGCATTGGAATAGGATTGCAGAGAGCGATTTCCTGTGGAGGTAAGGAGGGAAGGGGAGAGGAGATCATCTGACTGCGCACCCGTGCTGTGTACTGAGGCCTGTGTGTGGCTGTGTTGTGAGATATACACAGGAAAGTTAGTGTGAGTAGGGGGTTGTGATATAACCAGAGCTCTGAGGAGGTGAACTGACTGAGAACAGCCTGATGGGACTGTGACTCTGTTTCCAGGTCGCTATCTCTGCAGAGATGGGACTGCAGCAACTTCACCAATCAACGCCTGGGCACACACACATGGAAGCAATTTTTCCTGCATCAAAGAAGGAAGGAGCTTCGGTTGGCATTGGCACAGCCGCATAACTTTATCTACAAAGCCACTAAGAACATTGGTATGGGGACAGGTGCCCTAGAGGAACATGAGCAACTTGTTTTCAGAGGTCCACTCTATTTGATTTTTGCTGTGTGCAGTTGTGTGTTCTCATTCAGTGAAGGGAAAAGGAATTAAAATTGAACCAGACTGGTTTGCCGTGATAGCCATGCGATGTCTCCCTGCTTCCTCTCTTGTCCCCACCATCTGTGCTGAATGAACAAACTAGAGTGATTTTTTTCACAACATAAAATCAGGTCCTGTTACTCCCTTTTTCCTAAGGCTTCTCATCCCTCCCAGGATAAAAATAAAAAAAAAAAAAAATTAATGGGAAACTTTAAAAAACAGGAGGATCTCTTGAGCCCAGGAGGTTGAGGCTGTAGCAGTAGAGCCTACGTATGCATTTATTTAGAGACAGGGTCTGGCCCTGTCACCCAGGCTAATTTTAAAAATTTTTTATAGAGATAAAGCCTCAACCTCCTGGGCTCAAGAGATCCTCCTGCCTCAGCCTCCTGTGTAACTGGGACTACAGGGGTGCCCCACCACAACCAGCTAACTTTTTTTTTTTTTTTTTGAGGTTGAGTCTTGCTCTGTCATCTAGGCTGGAGGGCAATGGCACGATCTCAGCTCACTGCAGCCTCTGTCTCCTGGGTTCGAGTGATTCTCCTGCCTTAGCCTCCTGAGTAGCTGGGATTACAGGCATTTACCACTATGCCTAGCTAATTTTTATATTTTTAGTACAGATAGGGTTTCATCGTATTAGCCAGGCTGGTCTTGAACTCCTGACCTCAAGTGATCCACCTGCCTTGGCCTCCCAAATTGCTGGGATTCCAGGCATAAGCCACCATGCCCAGCCATAATTTTTTAATTTTTTGGTACAGATTAGGTCTTACTTTGTTACCCAGGCAGGTCTTGAACTCCTGAGCTCAAGCGATCCTCCAACCTTGGCCTCCCAGGCATGAGCCATTGTACCTGACCTAATCCTGATAACTTTTTTTTTTTTTTTTTTTAAAGACAGAGTCTTATTTTGTCACCCAGGCTGGAGTGCAGTGGCGTGATCTTGGCTTACTGCAACCTCTGCCTCCTGGGTTCAGGCAATTCTCATGCCTCAGCCTCCCAAGTAGCTGGGATTACAGGCACCTGCCACCATGCTAATCTTTGTATTTTTAGTAGAGACAGGGTTTCAACATGTTGGCCAGACCAGTCTCGAACTCCTGGCCTCAAGTGATCCGCCCACCTCAGCTTCCCAAAATGCTCTGATTACAGGCGTGAACCACTGTGCCTGGACTTGATAACTCTTTTAAAACTCAGAAAAGTTCTCTGATGGAGATATTTTAATATGCCTTTTATATCTTTGGAAACTGAGGATGAAAAGGAAAAGCAAGCTGGCCAACATCTCTCAAATGGCCAGTCTGCCATGGGAACCTGTGTTTGGATGACTCTGGAGCCCAATTTCTATCTTCTCCATATTGTTACCCAAACCTTCCTAAGAGGGTACAGAAATATTTTAAATTATCTTCTTTTGGTTTGGATCACCCCTTAACTATCTAGTGGCCAAGTCTTCTGTGTTTCCTTCTAGCATATGACATGGAGTTGGCTTATCTCTCAGGAAATAGCCTGACAATGGATGAACAGGAGAAATCAATCATTTGTGGTGTATCTCCAAAGCAAGAGCTTTGCGCCTGGGATGTGCAAGAGGTGAGTCTGGCCAATATGTAGCAAAAGTACTGCATTGCATCCATCCTGTTCTGTATGTGAAATGGAAGTGCTGAGAGGAAAATACTCGGAAGTGGTAACAAAAACAAAGTGTCAAATCAGGTTTTCTATCATGTAATTTGTGACCTTTTCATTTGGACCATAGACACACATAGAATTCACTTTTGTTGTTGTTTTTGTTTGTTTGTTTGTTTTTTGAGATGGAGTCTCACTCTGTTGCCCAGGCTGGAGTGCAATGGTGCAATCTTGGCTCACCGCAAGCTCCGCCTCCCGGGTTCACGCCATTCTCCTGCCTCAGCCTCCCAAGTAGCTGGGACTACACATGCCCATCACCACACCCAGCTAATTTTTTTGTATTTTTGTAGAGATGGGATTTCACCGTGTTAGCCAGGATGGTCTCAATCTCCTGACCTCGTGATCTGCCTACCTCGGCCTCCCAAAGTGCTTTGATTACAAGCGTGAGCCACTGAGCTTGGCTGAGAATTTACTTTTTAATTTGTGTTTCTATCTATAAATTTGTGTAAGGTCTTATTTTCTATCAATAACATGGAGTGCATTTGTGAAATAATGTTTGGTCTTTGTGCATGTTTATTACCTGTTCTATTGCCTCTTTGTCAATAATTGGCATTTGTTATATTGGCTTTTTCAGAAAGTAGTCTCTAGCTCAGATGATCTCCAAGGCGCACAAAGGATTTATCTCAAAATTGAGTGTGGCTTTTGTCTAATTGTATAAACTGCAGTGAGGTTCTTAGACCCACAAAGTTTTTGTTAAAGAGAATTACATTGGCAGAAACACTGCCAGCTTGGATTTAAAGGGGCCAAAACACACAAAAGGAAAAGAGGTTTTTTGGATTTCAGAACTTTGGCACGAAGCAGACTACCAAAACAATTTAGCTGAAAAATTGGGCCACCATATATAGAAAGTAAAGGATGACTCAGACAGAATCAAGAACCTAGAGAGTAGAACCAAGAGTCATCAAAAATCTTTCTTGGGCCTTGAGTCCTAATCAACAAATTGCCAGCATGTTTTCTATTGGATTTCAAAATTTCTTGTAGCAGTGATTCCTATTTTTCCATTTTCACCTTTTCTGAATGACAGTGACTGTTATCCTGTGCTTACCCCACACTTGTACTTTGGGGATGGTGAGGGACAGATAACTTGTATATTTAGTTCGAAGATTTTCACATCAAGATAAACTGAATCTACAGAGCTTCATCTATACCTGGACCTAGAAACAATGAGATCCTAGATTCTGCAATGATACTATCATGGTATGAGACATTTGAGAGCATTGGGAGATGGTGGATATATTTTCATGTAGGGGAAAGTGAATCACTGGAGGCTATGGGGCAGGCTACAGCTGCCAGTCTCCTGAGATGGCCCAAATATCTTTGCCCAACAATAATCACGATCAATCTTGTGTAGTCCACTGCCGCAGTGAATAGGGCTGACCTGTGGAACCAGTAGAATATTGTGGAAATTATGATGTATAATTTCTGAAGCTATGTCACAGAAGACAATTCTTCACTCATGGGTCATTAGCTCTTGGAAATCCAGTCACAGTGTTATGAGAGCTCTCAAGCAGCCCTCCAGAGAAGATCTGTGTGGTGAGGGACTGAGGACCCCTGCCAGTAGCCAACATCAACTTACACAGCTATATGAGAAGCCATCTTGGAAGTGAAACTTGACTTCACCCTCAAGAGACCTATAGCCAGAACTACCCAGTCAAGCTGCCCCTGAATTTCTGATCAAAAGAAACTGAGTTAGCAAAAGCCTGTTTCAAGCCACTAAATTTTGGGATGCTTGGTTATGTGGCCATAGATATCACTGCATAGGCAACTTGTTATAGTGTGAGGAATCAAAATAGTGATTACATTTGAGTGTGGGGAGCCATGGGGGAGTTGTTAAATAGAGCACATGCAAAGGGGATTTTGGGAGGGCTTAGAAGTGGTACATTAGCATTCACTTGTGATCATTTATTAAACTTCGTGCTCTTTTCTTGTATGATATACTTCACAATTTTTTTAAAGGCTAAAGAATCATCTAGAAAGAACTATCTTATATGTAATGTACAAGGTTGATGAATGAATAACAATTTTAATGATAGTTAATACGTTCTGGGTTCCTACTGTGTCCTAGGCAAAATTCTAAGTATGTTTCATGAGTTGTGAAACGTAATGACAGCCTCATTAGAAGGCATGATAGAAAGCAACTTGCTGAAGCTGTACTGTTAGTAGGAGGCAGAAGTGATTTGAACTCAGGAAGTCTGATCATTCTTTGCACCTCTTATGTACCAAGTTCTTGTCTCTGAGCATAGTGCGTAGTTCCTGTTTTCGTGTTCACTCCTCCAAAATATTGAGATGGGGAGAATTTTCATATCTTTTGCCAGAAGCAAGAAGATCTGATTTGGAAGAGACTTCCAAATAAACATGGACAGAATGAAAGCACAGTAGATGTAAGAGTTCCTTGAACACAGATTGTATTACTCTTGTTCTCTAGGGCACCATGATCTGGTCAAGCCCAGTCCAGGAGTTCTGTTTCTTAAATCTGGTAACCCTTCCTCAGATGCATCTTGTCATCACTATGGATCAGAAAAAAACTATCAAAGTGTGGAACTGTCAGGACAGGGATGCTCTGGCCATTCTCCGCATGCCAGAGTCCTGTTATAGCATGGAAGCCTATCTCACAAAGGATGGCCCATTCCTGACGGTAAGTGAGCCCTGAATTTAGAGGGGACCAAAAAATCAAATGCCTGCTGTTTTGTCAGGCATCCGTGTGACATTACTGTCCTGTCCCTTTTTTTTTTTTTTTTTGAGATGGAGTCTCACTCTGTTTGCCCAGGCTCAAGTGCAGTGGTGCGATCTTTGCTCACTGCAACCTCTGCCTGCTGGGTTCAAGCAATTCTCCTGCCTCAGCCTCCTGAGTAGCTGGGACTACAGGCACACGCCACCATGCCTGGCTAATTTTTTGTATTTTTAGTAGAAACAGGGTTTCACCATGCTGACCAGGCTGGTCTTGAACTCCTGACCTCATGATCTGCCCACCTCAGCCTCCCAAGTTCCGGGATTACAGGTATAAGCCACCACACCCAGCCTATTTCTCTTGTAGTCATCCCTTCCACATGCCCTGTGAGTCAATCACAATATATCAATGAATGTTATACAAACCTCCATGCTATCTTGGCCCTTGACTTGCCTCAAGTACATTTCCCCAGCCATTCTTCTAAAAACAAAAAGCCAAAAACTTTCTGAATTACTTTATATGTGCCTCTTCTTTCAAGTGTGTATTATTGTCCAGTCCATGAACTTGGTTGGGGACAGTCGAGGGAGAGAGATGGCTTTGGGTGACATTGAGAAAAAGCATAGTGTTGATGTGCTAATGAATAACCGTCCTTGAGAAGAATGCTTTGGGGCTTGGAAAGTTTTATTCCATGGGATTATCCCAACAGTGTCTCAAGCTAGACTGGTCAGAGGTTTTGATCTCCATTATGTGATTGAAGAAACGGTGGCATATCTTGCAGCTGACAGTGCTGCCTCCTCTGTACTTTAGGATTTCACGTATCTTCCTATTGATGTGGTGGGGATGTTTTGGTTTCAGGTTGGTGATGCTGCAGGTGACATCTACACATTTACACTGCCTGGGTTAAGGGATGTTTCTAAAGTTACTGCATTTCAATATGGTATTGTATTTCTACACTGCTCTCCTGACAAGAAATGGGTATTTGCATGTGGGACATATCGTCGTACCTTGCCACAGGTAGGTGCTGTTCTGTGTATTTGAACTTCAGGATGGGAATGTGAAGTTAGGAAGCATGCAGAGAAACTGCAGAGCTCAGTGAGGACCAGGCACACTGCTCCCTCTCTCAGACCACATCACAAGGGGAATCCATTGTGATGATCAGGAAGCAATGTTCTTTGAAGCAACAACATCCAGTTGCTGTGGCAAATGTTAACGAAAACTCATTCATGAAGCCCGAATTTGCCAAAGAAATGGAGGAGGGCGAGACAGGTATCAAGAAATAGGGATTGCTGGGCATGGTGGCGTACACCTATAGTCCCACCTACTCAGAAGGCTGAAGCGGGAGGATCGCTTGAGCCCAGGAGTTCCAGGCCATAGAGTACTATGCTGATAGGGTGTCCACACTAAGTCTGGCATCAATACGTTCACCTCCTGGAAGCAGGGGACCACCAGGTTGCCTAAGGAGGGGTCAACTGGCCCAGGTCAGAAACAGAACAGGTCTAAACTCCCATGCTGATCAGTAGTGGGATTGCTCCTGTGAATAGCCACTGCACTCCCACCTGGGCAACATGGCGAGACCCTACCTCTTAAAAAAGAAAAGAAATTTGTTTTTTACAAAAATATCTTTGACCTTGTTCTCTTTTGCCTTCTTTACTTTTATCTATGTTGGCTGGAAAGTATAGAGAAGTCCAAAAGTAACTGAATGTGCAACAGCCTCTGAATATCACTCTGAGGAAGGCTTTGGCCTTTGAGCAGGCCTTTTGTAGGGGGGCACTGGTGGACTGGGCACCAAAGAGGAAGGAGTTCAGAAGGCAGGTAGTAAAAGCCACACAGTCCTTGACTTGTTCCCCAAGAAGGGAAAATCTGCTTAGCCAACCTCAACTTGACCAAGGGTTCAACATGGTGAGATGGGTTTTGTAACCCCTTGGCATGCTTCAGGGACACTGTTCTGTGAATGGGACAGGAAGGATACGAAGACAGTGAGTTCCTTGTATGCTGGAGTGGTAAGCAGTGACCCCTCATCACTCCTGAGATGTTGAACAAAGCTTTAGCCACAAGATGAGAATTTCTAAGAAGGCTCTTCTGGAGTCACTCCTGTACTGAGAGGCTATAAGTTCCCTTCCCCTGATCGCGCACGCGATGCTCTCTTTAGGTATTCCTCACAGAGTCCTTACTGAGACCATCAGAAGGCAGTGCTCCTCTGTCTACCTCTCTCCCACATAAATTATGTGTCAGCGCCTGCTGGACCCCAAAGGTGAAAAACAGGCTAACACTGATGTCCCAAAGTAACCCTGAAAAAAAGACAGAATTTATCACCTTCGATCTAACAACCAAGAGGACTGGAGGCCAAACAGTCATCCAAGGTAGGCTGTGCCACATTAGAAATGCTTGTTTCTCTTCCTCATTACAGTCATTCATGTTTAGCTATAATAAATGGGTCAGTCTGTAAAAAAGGGAGCAGGGGATTTCTTTTTTTTTTTTTTTTTTTTTGAGACGGAGTCTCGCTCTGTCGCCCAGGCTGGAGTGCAGTGGCGCAATCTCGGCTCACTGCAAGCTCCGCCTCCCGGGTTCACACCATTCTCCTGCCTCAGCCTCCCAAGTAGCTGGGACTACAGGCGCCCGCCACCTCGCCTGGCTAATTTTTTGTATTTTTAGTAGAGACAGGGTTTCACCATGTTAGCCAGGATGGTCTCGATCTCCTGACCTCAAAATCAGCCTGCCTCGACCTCCCAAAGTGCTAGGATTACAGGTGTGAGCCACTGTGCCCGGCCAGGAGTAGGGGATTTCTTTAGCTGCGGGTGAACCCTCCCCAGTTTGACTCTAATACCCATGCTGATCTCTACCCCGACCCTGCCCTCTTGGGTGAACACATACAGATTTCCATCATGTTTTAGGGCCTGCATTCCAATGTTCCTTCCCACTACAGGTTTTGCCTCAATGCCCAGGGGATTGTTTGTTGTCCACAAACTTCTGTTCGTGTGTCCTAGCACCTGTTAACCACAGTCAGTGATATGTATTTGTCAGGCCACTGGACTACCCTTCATTTTCCTCCCTGGAATGAAGTCTGTGGAAGTGGGGACTAGCTTTTTTATTCAGTGTGAGGATATTGTTCTTATTCAATGATCTGATATTTACTTCCTTATGTGTGTGTATATATGTGTGTTTTACATGAAAACAGTACATGAGATTGCAAGTTTCCAGTTGGCAGCTCATCTGGAGTCCCCTGCTTGGATGGGAGCCAATGATGGATATACAATTGTCTTTACCAATGGGCCATACTTGTTACTCTTCAGCATCACTGGCTTCCTGCTGCAACGATTTGAGGACCACCAGGCAGCCATCGACAACTTCTGGGTGGTATGTATGATTCTCCTCCACTGCTTTTTGATCTGACTTTGTCTCCTTGGCCACTCACTCTGGCTATCCTTGGAAGGATCCTCGCTATGTGCTCACCACATCCAAGAACTCTGTGCACGTGTACATGTGGGAAGAAGGAGGCCGCCATCCATACCTGAGGAGCTGCTATCACCTGGAAAACATATGGCACGATCCCACAACAGATGAGTAAGTTCTGTTTTGTGACCTAAACATTCCCTGAACACTTTTTTTTATTTTTTTTTTGAGACGGAATCTCCCTTTGTCACCAGGCTGGAGTGCAGTGGCGTGATCTCAGCTCCCTGCAACCTCTGACTCCCGGGTTCTAGCAATTCTCCTGCCTCAGCCTCCCAACTAGCTGGGATTAAAGGCATGGTGCCACCACACCTGGCTAATTTTTGTATTTTTAGTAGAGAAGGGATTTCACCATGTTGGCCAGGATGATCTCGATCTCCTGACCTCTCGATCTCCTACCTCGTGATCCGCCTGCCTCGACCTCCCAAAGTGCTGGGATTACGGTGTGAGCCACCGTACCCGGCCAAAAACTTCTAATTTCTACATCAAGATGAATGAAGGGAGAACAGGGATTTTTTTTTTTTTTTTTTTTTTTTTTTTAAGATTCTTTGAGGATAGATATCAATGAACTCATGCCTGAAAAGAGAATAACTAGTTCTTGAAGTCACGGCACTTGCAATAGATGTTAAAAGTCTTCCCAAAGTGGCTCTCAATTTATATTCCCACGAACAGTGGATAGATTATGTCCTCAATACCCTGTGTTTTCTTGCTAAGTTGTACCTTTTGTGAGTTCATTAGCCACTTGGTGGCTGCTTCAGTGAGCTGCCTTTCCCTCCATTTTGTTGATTTTTGCCCCTGGTTTGCTTGCCTTTAAATTGTTTTTCTTGAGATTTTACGTAGTACACGTAGAAGTCTTGACTCCTAAGTCTTTGCAGACATTTTCTTCCAGATTATTGCTAGTCATTATACTGCTTATAGTGCTTTTTTGGCGACATCTAAGAAAATATATATATCCTTTGCACTGCCAACACCACTAAAAAGAATTTACTGTGAAGCTATACCTCCGATCATTCAAGTACATTGGCTGTTCGTTACAGCAGTTGTGATAGTCAAGAGCTGGAAACTCCCTAAGTGCCCAAACATAAGAGATTGTTTAAATTACCATCGTATGTCCACACTAGGAAGTATCATGCTGCTGTTATTAACTTTTTTATAAGAATAGGAAAATGTCTACATTCAGATAATTATTTTCCAGTGTTTTGAGGCAAAAATACTTTGAATATCTGTGATCGTGCTTAGCAGACTTTCATGGTTTTTGCTCTCTGTATCTAATAAATTTTAGCCTACACCAATCATAAATACTTATTTCCTTTCAATAACTTCAAATACTTTCCCGGGATTTGTTTTCTGTCTTACATTTGAATGGATGTATAGTGATACCTCATTGTGATATTTATTGTGCCTTTTCCCAGTGACATTGAGCAATTTATTTGCCATCCACATATTTTCTTTGACACATTTTTTCAAATCTTTTGACCATTTAATTGGGTTGTTAATATTGAGTTTCTTAATATTGAGTGTTGATAGTCCCTTATATATTTGGAATACACGTCTTTTATCAGATAAGGGTTTGCAAATACTTTCTCCCACTCTGCTTCATCTTTCTACTCTCTTCACGGTGTCTTTCAAAGAGCAAGTGTTAACCGTGAAGTACAATTTTTCTTCTAAAATGACTGGGCTTGGGGCATTGTACTTACGAAATCTTTGCCTAACCCAAGATCACAGAGATGTTCTAAGATTTCCTCTAAAAGTTTTACAGTTTTGGGTTTTTCATTTAGGTCTCTGATGTATTTTGAGTTAAATCTTATAAGGGAAAGATAAAGATCAAGGTGTATTTTTTTTGCATATGAATATTTAATGATTCAGCACCATTTGTTGAAAAAACTCTTTCTCCATTGAATTGCCTGTGTACCTTTGTCCAAAATCAACCATATTTACATGGGTTAATTTTGAAAGTTTCTCTTTTGTTCCAATCATCTATATATGTATCTCTTATCAAATAACACACTACATTGAAAACGTAACTTTATAGAGACTTTGCAATCACATAATGAGTCCACTAATTTGTTCTTTTGCAGAATTATTCAGACTATTCTGGTTCCCTTGTTTTCCAAGTGAATTTTAGAATTAGTTTGTAAATTTTTACAAAAATTCTGCTGAGATTTATATTGGAATTTGTAGATCTGGAGATTAATTAGGGGGAATTGGCATCTTTACTATTTTGGCTCTTTCAATACTTGAACCTGAATGTCTCTTACTGTTTTAGGCCATCTTTAATTTATTCTATCAGTGTTTTTGTAGTTTTTAGGACAAAGATTTTGCACATATTTGTAAAATTTATACCTAAATATTTCATGGTTTTGATGCTATTATAAAGAGTACTGTCTTATTTCAATTTCCATTTTTCATTACTAGTATATAGAAATATGACTGACTTTTGTATACTGATTTTGTATCCCGCAACCTTGCTTAACTCATTTATTCTAAAAGCTTTTATTCATAGATTGGTAGAGACTTTGTGCTTTCTCTATGTAGACAATCATGTCATTTGTCAAACAGCTTTCTTTCTTTCTTTTCAAATGTATGCCTTGTTGTTCTTCCCTTTTTGCACTGGCTATAACCTCCTGGGTGGCACTGGAATGGAGAGCCAACATCCTTGCATTGGATGAAAAGTGTTTGGTCTTTCACCATTATTATTATTATATTCACTGTATGTTTTTGTAGATGCCCCTTACTGGGTTGAAAACGTTCTCTTCTAGTCCTAGATGGCTGAGAGGTTTTTACTATCATGAATAGATGTTGAATTTTCTCAAAGGCATTTTCTGCATAAATTGATAAGAGCATATAATTTTCCTTTTTTAGGTTCTTAGTAAGGTGAATTATATTGATTTTCCTTTTTTGTTAGTGGTCAGGACAGAGTATCTTATTAGTTTTTAATTAACAAATAACAATTACATATTTATGGGTACAATGTGATTTCTTAGATGTATATATTATAGAATGATTATATCAAGCTAATACATCAATCACTTCATACAGTATTTTGTGGTAAAAAAAATACTTAAAATCTACTCTCAGCAAATTTGTCAATATGATATACTATTATGAACTACAGTCACCATGCCACAGATCTCTGAAACTTATTCCTCCTGCCTAACGGAAACGCTGGGCCCTCTGACCAACATCTCCTCATTCCCCCTCTCTCCCAGCCTCTGTTAACCACCATTCTACTCTGCTTCTGTGAGTTCAATTTTTTTTTTAAGTTGTCACACATAAGTGAGATGATGCAGTATTTGTCTTTCTGTGCTTGGCTTAGTTCACTGAACATAATGACCTCCAGATTCATCCATGCTGTTGCACATGACAAGATTCCCTTTTCTAAGGCTAAATGGTGTTCCATTGTGTGTGTGTGTATATATATGTATACATATACCACATTTGCTTTATCCATTCATCCATTGATGTACACTTAGGTTGATTCCATATCTTGGTTATTGTGAATAGTGCTGAAGTGAACATGGGAGTAATGAGAGTACAAACGTTTCTTCAACGTACCGATTTCAATTTCTTTTGATGTATACCCAGAAGTGGGATTGCTGTATCATATGATAATCCTATTTTTAGTGTTTTGAGGAAATTTCATGTTGTTTTCCATAATGGCTGTACTAATTTACATTCCCACCTACAACATACATGGGTTCCCTGTTCTTCATATCCTCACCAACACTTGTTTATCTTTCGTCTTTTCGACCATAACCATTCTAACACCTCTAATGAGGTGGTATCTCATTGCATTTTTAATTTGCATTTCCCTGATAATTCATAATGTTGAGCATTTTTTCACGTATTTGTTGGCCATTTTATGTTTTCTGTGGACAATTGGCAATGAACCTTTGCCCATTTTAATATGGTGGTTTTCTTGCTATTGAGTTCTCATATATTTTGGATATTAACCCTTATATGTATAATTTGCAAATATTTTCTCCCATTCCATAGGTTGTCTCTTTGATCTGTTTTCTTTCCTGTGCAGAAACTTTTTAGGTTGATACAATCCCATTTACCTATTTTTGCTTTTGTTGTCTGTGCATTTGGGGTCATATCCGAAAAATCATTGCCCAGATCAATGTCACAGAGCTTTTCCCCTGAACTTTCTTCTTGTAGTTCAGGTTTTATATTTAAGTCTTTAATCCATTTTGAGTTTTGTATGTGATGTGAGAAAAAGTCCAAACTTATTTTCTTTTCATGTGAATATCCAGTTTTCCCAATGCCATTTATTGAAGAGCTTATCCTTTCTCCATCATGTGTTCCTGGTACCTTTGTTGAAAAACAATTGACTATAAATGTGCAGGTTTATTTCTGGGATCATTTATTCTGAGCTGTTGGTCAACGTGCCTGATTTTATGCCAATATGCTGTTTTGATAACTGTAGCTTTATAATATGTTTTGAAATCAGATAATATGATGCCTCCAGCTTTATTCCTTCTCAAGATTGCTTTGAGTATTTGGGGTCTTCTGTGGTTCCATATTCATTTTATGATTGCTTTTTCTATTTCTGTGGAAAAGGTCATTGAAATTTTGATAGGAATTGCATTGAATCTGTAGATCATCTTGGGGAATATGGACATTTTAACAATATTAATTCTTCCAATCTATGAACACGGGATAGCTTTCCATTTATTTATGTCTTCTGTTTCTTTTATCAGTGTTTCATAGTTTTCAGTATACACATCTTTTACCTTCTTGGTTCAATTTACTCAAGTATTTCAATTTTGGGTGCTGTTGTAAGTGGATTTTCTTCATTTATTTTATTGGATATATGGAATTTCTGAACATTAAATCAGCCTTGCATTCCTAGACTAAACCCCACTTACTCATTTTTTATTACTCTTTTTACATATTGCTGAATTGAGTTTAATACTTGATGATTGTTGGCTTCTGTGTTTATGAAGGATATTGGTTTGTAGGGTTTTTTTCCTTTTTTTTTCTTTTCGAAATGAAGTCTCGCTCTTGTCCCCCAGGCTGGAGAGTGATGGCACGATCTTGGCTCACTGTATCCTCCACCTCCTGGGTTCAAGTGATTCTCCTGCCTCAAGGTGTTATTTCTTCCTTAAATG